CAAAACTGTCACTGGGGCAGTACCCTTCTTGTCTCTGGGGTGGTCCCCTCAAGGGAACGTCTCAGTACCTTTAGTCAGGGAATAAATGTATCATAACCCAATGAAATGATACTGTAAGTTGTATTGACTCCACACACCCCGTCTCGTCTCCAGGCTTTCTATTTTATTGTTCTGTTTTAAAACATTCTGTTATGAAAAGATACAAATCTATACTTTTCACCTGAAAACACCTATTTAAGGTACACAATTGGACCTTAAAACCACTGTTGTACCTTTGAGGGAACATTTACATTGTTTGCACCTTGCTGAATGAAAAATGTACCTGCACAGAACCTTTATTTCTAACAGTGTGGGGGTCCCATTCATTGTCCATAGTGTGTAGTTTTGCAGAATGAGAAAGGTTTATAGAAGTCGTACAAATGCAGGCACAATTTCACATTGAAATGATTCTATGCTGTATGTGAGTTGAGTTCAATAGTCCACCAAACCCAACCTATATTAATATATGCAGTTATCTTACCTTGAGTATTGGCTTTAAATACTTTCATCTTTAAAAACTACTAAGCTTTAAAATTAGGTATTTTTAATTGAATCACTTCACTTTACATGCTACATGATTGGATTGGATTCACTCATTCTTTCCCCTCTGATTTCCAATTCAGCATTAGATAACGTGATGCTGACATTGAGCCAATCCCTGTTATCAGACTGTGCCTTCTGTAGATCTTACCAAACTGATTTATTAGATGAAGTGTAAATAAAGTAAGCTAATTAGCTAGCTTGGCTTGGCTAACTTGTGGATTAGTTTCTCTTGCTCTTAGGGAGTTTTTCCTTGCCACTATTACCATTGGTGACGCTCGTGGGGGCTTAGACCTGGATTTTTATCTGTAAAGCTGCTTTTGTGAAAAAGCCCTATGTAAATAAACTCTGACTTGACTCGACTTGATTATCTTAGCTGTTCATTCACAGCCTGCAATCCTATTCACTATCAGGAGTTCAACCAATTTCCATCTTCCAGTTGAAGTGGAATACTTAACCAGCAGCTAAATTAGGATTAGAGTTAGAGACGATGGCTGGGTTGAGGAACACAGAGCTAGACATTGGCGTGGGCTGTGATACAACAAATTACCGCAGCCTCACAGGATCTGTGCACGCTTCTGAAAGTAGACGACCAGCTACTCAACTGCTGCCATTGGCCACAAAGCTGCACATCGTGAAAGCTGTGAGTTCTCTCAGGAGCCACAGTACGTGGGCTGAAGTGGTTACTCCCTGTTTTGCGACATGAATGTGATGTGCTTAACCCCATCTTATTATCCAGTAACAACTGTGAATTACTCAGTAAGTATGATTTAACTCCAAGCTTAGTACTCATTTATTAATTAGTTACTATTCAGTAACTACTGTGGATTAGTTGCTAACTTCTATTATACTATATAAGCACTAAATATAAGCATGTACAAGTGAAATATAGGCTCTTTAACCTCTTTGAATCCTCTTCATTTTCTGTATATTTTCTATATTTAGGATTATGATTTTTTTAATTTCCTTATAAAATTTCATCCTCAAATTAATAAAAACACACAAACATATTGTGCATTATTGTGTATAAATACACAGTTAACTGCATCATAATTGCTTAAACTCCAGGCTTATAATTCAGTAATTAATCTTATCTTTTATCTTTTCATCGAATAGGAAATATCTATGCAAGTTATAGTCAAAACTAATGTGTCAGTTGTGTAGGTCTGAAAGTGAGCAAGCAAACTCTGGACCTGGCATCAGTTTGGCAGACTTTAAAGGGTTAAACTGCTAAAGTTGAGCATATGAATATGTTGTGTGCACAAAAACGTGACAAAACCCCTGACAAATTAACTGCCTGGCCTAGAAAACTGTACTATCCCAGGTGCTGACAGCGATTAGCTCTGAAAAACAGGAAATGAGAAAAGACGAAGAAAGGCAGCAAAACATGATTAGAGAGAGATAGACCTGCTCCTTCTCTCCCTGCGCATTTCAATGAGCCTGTCCCGAGGTGACAGCTCACTCAGGCCTGGTCCAGGTCACTGCTGATGGTATCAAATGACCCGGATCTACAGCACACGAGCCACGATGGAGTGATAATATGAAAGTGGGTTAGACAGAGTGCTGCTTAGTGAAGTGACACTTCCCTTAGGTTGAGATGAGACAGAGAGAAGGAGAACTGAGTAAAAAAAAAAGAAAAAAGAAAAGAGAGATAAAGTTGTGAGCTCAATAATGGAGGCAGAGCAAGATAAGAGAGAGAGAAAGAGATAGAGGAAGAGAGAAAAAAACAGAGAGTGGAGGGCACAGAGAGAGAGATGGTAGAGAAACAGATGGAGGGAAAGAGAGGGAGAGAGAGAGAAAAACAAGGAGAGAAAGAGTGGAGAACAGAGAGATGGGAGAGAAAGGGATAGAGGGAGAAAGAAGGGAGAAAAGAAGGAGAACTGAGCAAAAAGAAAAGAGAGATAAAGCTTTGAGCTGAATGATGGAGGAAGAGAGTGATGGAAGGGAGAGAAAGAGAGAGGGTGAGCAAGAGAGAGAAAGAAGGTGCAAGACACAGTGGAGGATACAGAGAGAAAGCAAAAGACAGAGGGAGAGAGACAGAGAGAGGGAGACAGGAAGAAAAAGAAGAAACAGAGGAAGAGAGAGAGAAGAGGAGACAAGAAGAAGAAGAAGAGAGAGAGGGAGAGAGAGAGAGAGGTGGCCAAAAAAAAAAAGGAGAGAGGAATGAGGCTTGAGAGAAGAAGAAGAGAGTGATGGAGGCAGGGACAGATGAGTAGAGAGAAAGAAAGAGACAGACAGAAAGAGGGGAATTGAGAGATAAGAGAGATAAAACTGAGTCAGGCAGAGATGGGGAGAAAGAGAGAGAGACAGAGAGAGAGAGAGAGAGAAGGGAAATTGGGAGAAAAGAGAAATACAAATAAATATATATGAGTTGAGTGATGGAAGGATAGGAGAGAGACAAAGAAAAAGAGAGAGAGACAGAGAGAGAGAGAGAGAGACACAGAGAGAGACAGGAAAAGAAGGAGAGAGGGTGCGAGCATGTGAGCGAGCGACAGAACATTTCCTTTGGTGGTTCGCAGGCCTTGCAGGCAACAGGAAGAGTATGTCCTAAGTGGCTTAACCACAGCGCTCGCTAGTGCGTCTGTAAAAGTCCCTCCGAGCCCTCCAAAGTGGACTCAGAGTTCAGCAGAAAGGAAGTAGCTTGGTGGAGGTAGGCTCAGCTAGGCTAGGCTGACGTAGACTGGGTCATTCTGACTGAAATCATTCGCTCAGTAACTGGCACACACCACTGTCAGTGCCACAGTCTTCAGATCTCATGTCAGACAGACCCAGGACTTACAGTACATACTGTACTATAGTACACAATACTCTATATACAATAGCCTAACTTACAGTTTAAGATAAATGTATTGAAATGTAAGCTCTGTCGATATAAGAGTGAGGAAGGGAAGTGTGCGCCCATATATGGGTCCCTTAGAGGTTAAGGCATTAATCTAGAGATAAAGTAACCCTGAATGCGTAAATGCATTTCACACCTTGCACATCTGCTAGATTACAGAAAGTATGACGCAAAATGAGGCCAAATATCAGTTTTAAAAACAATCACTCCAGCGCTGCAAGTTCATCATTCAGTTTCATTCATCTTAATTAAGAATCTTCAATAACTAGTATTAATTACATTGTAACTACTATGTAACTAATTTGAATAAATGCAGTTTGCAGTACTACTGAGAGTGTGGGCCCACATACAGGTCTGTAGGGGATAAATAATGATGATACACTGCATCTCTCTCTCTCTCTCTCTCTCTATCCTCTAATGCCCATGTGTCAAACACAAGGCCCGCAGGCCAAGTCAAGCCCGTGGCACAATTCTATTTGGCCCACAAAATTATTTTAAATTTCTATTAATATTAGCCCATTTCACCATGAACTGCACTACAGTTCCCAGCATGCATTGCAATGTAATGTGTGCTCCCACCTCTTCCCCAACAGTGATCTAAGGGACTGCACTACAAAAACAAAATAAAACAAAAAAAAAAGATGCCAGGTTTCTAGTTTAGGCGAATGAGCAGTTTTGAAAAACTGCATACTGTGCACTGGGGACATTTAAAGAGGTTTAACAGTGATCTGCAGATAATGTGGTCTATTGTTTAATATAAAACAATTTGTTTTTATTTAAAATTATTTTTTAAATCAAGCATTCAGTGCCTGTTTTTTGCCATTGTAGTTTTGGCATATATTGAACAAACAATGGCCAGCTGGGGTCGTGGCAAAATCTTAAGTTAAAATTAAATAAAAACACAGCTGGCCCAAAGATTTGTTGAGATTTTTTATATGGCTCTTTTAGTGGTTGAGTTTGACACCCCTGCTCTAATGTTTTACGTAGTACTACTTCAGTGAGAATGGAAACCACACAAAGCGAGGAGAACCCCCTCATCAACCATGACTGAATACATGCATTTCACCTATGACTATAGCAATCATTGCACACTGCCACATTTCACAAAGTACGAAACAAAGACCATCAGCACAGATACTTTTGTAAAAGATCTCACTCTAATCTGACTAATCGTCATATCGTTACTGAAGAGTGTGTATGACGTAAAGAAGTATGCATGAGTTTGCATTCTAGAGAAACTTACTGAGTCAGAACTCTTTACAGTGGTGGTGATAGGAACCAGACATCCAAAGAGTTCAATGCCCATTACATTAAATGGTTAAGTATACACTGCCTGATGCCTGACACATCGTTGTACAATAGATCTGAGTTAAAATGTAGGCCTTAAACATGTTTTCAAAAGCCATATATGTTGTAGACATCACGACTCCTGGTTCCCATCACCACCAATGTAAGGAAATCTATAATTGATGGCTCAATAATGAGAGAAGAGGTTGGAAAGAAGTGTAGTTGGAAAGTCACTACTAGTTGGGAAATGTTCTGTTAGAAGTGGAGAGGAAGCGTGTAGCGGGAGCAGACTGACCGGCGTGCGTGCGGAGGTGTCCGGTAAGGGCGTCGCGGCGGCGGCAGGCGTAGCTGCAGAAGGGGCATTTAAAGGGCTTCTCCCCCGTGTGCAGCTTGATGTGCCTCAGCAGGTTACCCTTCTGCGTGAAGGAAACTCCACACTGGTTGCACTGGAAGGGCCGATCACCTGCAGGACACCAGAGCATTGGACAAATGTGAAGAAGAGAAACATACAACTTCTTTAGGACTGTCCCTTCTATACAGAGTGCTTGACTAATCAGTGGACCAGTTGACTACTTACATTTATTTCTTTCTTAAATGATGCATTTACTTAAATGTATATATATATATATATATCTTTGAGTGAATTATAGTTAAAGCTGCAACTCGCTGTTGTCGTAACAAAACCTTGTATCTCCATTTTTGTAATTTTTTGGTTTTTGACATAATTTTAATAATTCATGTTGTCCTTTACATTGTGTGTAAATTTCATGATGAATGGAAAAAAAGAAAAGATTTCTCCTGTAAAGTTACCATTTTGAAGATACAAGGTTTTGCTCCAACAACAGCAATATACTGCAAGTAGTTCAGACTATATATATATATATATATATATTGCACATAATGAACATCTAGATAACTGTATATATTGTGTATATTGTATACATACTATGTGATTGTAAATATTGCACCTGTGTGATTGTAATATTGGACCTTGTAGTTATTGACTCTCTATATAAGTTTGTCAGATTAATACATTCAAAAGTAAAATACTAACACCACAACTCATCCAGTCACACCAGATTAGTCTTAAGCCTCAGAATGTTCACAGATGATGGAGGGATTGGGCGCGGTTTCAGTTTTGACCCAGAGCGCTAACAGTATTCAACCACCATCAAGAGTGACTCCTAAAATGCATTGTTCATCTTTATATATATAGAGTGGTGTGATGAGAAGGTGTTAGATCTCAATAGCTCGGCCCTTTCTCAGCCGGCCTGGCTTACCACACAGGCTTACTACAGCGCAGTCTCATGAAACTAAAGGTCATTTGCTGCTTAACATAGCCACAGGCAGTGTTTCGAGCCAACCCTGAAGTTCCATCGAGTTCTTTTATGACCGAACGAAGTCTCTGAGCTTTGAATAGGCAGGCTAGGTCTTTTTATCTCAGCGAGGTACATTTTTCCCATACCGTATGAGAAGCCTATCCCAGGCTTTCCTCTCATTTTAGCCAAGTCCTGCTTTAAAACAAACACAGACAATCTGTCAAAAGTTTGGGGAAACTTAGATTATCAAATTGCTTTTAATAAAATATTTGTCAGTTTGTGATAATGTAAGATATTAAACTGAAAGCTGTTTAGGCCTTGCCAACTGACAAAGGTACACAAAATTTGACATACCCTACACATTTTATCTCCTTGTAACATCAGCACTCAACAGAACTCAAATTTTTCAGGTGTTTAAACCAGGTAATGCTTTCTTTTACAGCCCCTTAAGTTCTAGATATTAACCAGGTAAGAGTCTGGTACACACTCCAAAGTGTTAGCTAAATATTTTGAGTAACATGATGGTAGGTTCCGACACAGTCTAACTAAATTACACTGAAATAACCAAAACGTTGAAGTTATTAACCAGGAAATTATATGTTACAGTCTCCAGAGTACTGTGTAATAATTCAGGGTAAAAAGTACTGTGCAGTTATATGACATAAAAAGATTGTACATGAATAAGTGCAAAGAGTCTTAGTATTCTTAGTGTCAATATTCTTTGTAAAAGAAAGTAATGATTCTTATTGTGGTTTTAGCATTTACTTCAGAAATTGTTGCCGATATTTTACCCCCCCACCCCATCCCCCACAACTATCTGGTGCTTGGAGTCATTTTCAATTTGTTTTTATAGCTGTTTATGACATTTATACTCTGAATTATTATGAGATGTTTTTCTGTGTTCTTTATCAGCATAATAGCTAAAATGTTACCCAACATAATTATCTATTATACTCCCTAAAAAGAAGGTTCTTCATGGATTCTTTGGTAAAGACAAATGTTCTACATAGAACCATAAACACTCAAAAAATGACATGCTTAAAAGGTACTTTGCATGGTGAAATGGTTCTTCAGATTGATGGAGAATGTGTTGTATATGGCTCTTTATAGCACCAAAAAGGAGCCTGCAACCGTAACAATAATAATAAAAAAAAACTTTGGTGTTATATAGAACCATTTTCAAAAGGTTCAGTCTCACTTTATTTGGTTGGTCCACTATCATCCCCTATAGATTATCTACAGATGTTCAAATTGTTAATTAACTGTCTGTTGAAACTCAGTTGATTCTAAACAGTGGTGGTTTGGACCAGGGTCAGGGCTAGGACCAGGCTGAGGGTTGGGTTAAGGTTTTGGGTTGAGGTTAAGGTTAAGGTTAGGATTAGAGCAGGTTTAGAGTTAAAGACAATTATGGATAATTTAGTAAATATTTAGTTGAATGTAACTTGAAAGTATCTACAAAGCATCTAAAGTGGACTATTCAAATAAAGTGTTACTAAAGATCTTTACTAAAGACCTCTTGAACATCTATCTTTTTAAAGAGTGTACTTTAGAGTTCCTCACATTTACCTGGTTAATACCTCGAACTTACAGGACAGTAAAAGAAAGCGTTACCCGGGTTTCGATATGCGCTTTAGCCGATAGCTTGGAAAAAACTGTAAAATCATTACACAAAACCTGGTCTTCTTATCAAAGAAGATACTTTGATGAACATGAAGCTGAGTGTTGAAACAAAATGTACCTAAAGTATTAACACGTAGTTATTTTATATACCTTGGCAGGTATGTTTCGACTTAAAGTGAAAATCTTTGGTTCAGTTATTGAATCACCTCCCACAGCTCGGTCACCGAAAGTCTTTGGCCGATACAAACAGGCCCATTAAGTAGGACATCTAAGTGCTGGTTGGATATTTAATCTGTTGTGTGTAGAGATGCTACCGGTGACGGTTGGTGTGTCAGAAGCTGTGAGAATACAGATTAGGAAAGCTGAAACCGGAGCCTGAAGTTTCTGATGAACGCACAGCAGCACCAGCATAAGCCAAGACCTCCAGAACAGGTTGTGGAGGATTCCTGGGATACTCTCCCTGAGAAGGCTTTCCAAGCCCAAGCTATTGTTTTCACCTCTCCCCACACCCACTTACACATGCTTGAAAGGAGGAAGAGAGCAGTGCTGTGAATCAGCTCTCACAGACTATATTACTTAGATCAAATTTATTTATTAGGCTTGCTCACTGTACGTTAAAGTCAAGTGCGGCGAGTGTACGGCATGATTTAGATACATTATAGTTCGCAATGGAAGTGACTTTACACCACGGTCAAATTTGACAACGGCTCTGTATTCATATATCAAGCTATCATAGTTACCATGTAAAACTGATGTGAGTTTTCCTCCAGGGAGTTATATAAATAAATAAAGTCCCTAACAGGTTCCCTGGTACTGAAGATACAGCAGGACTAATATATATTATTATAAGTGAATCAGTATTTGGTGAAAGTTATGTATCGTTGCTGTCGGAACAAAACCTCATATCTCCATTTTTATGTTTTTTTAGTTTTTGACATAATTTGAAAATGCCTGTTGCCCTTTACATTGTGTGTAAATTTCATGACGAATGGACCAAAGGAAACGGCCCAAATTTACTTGGAAAAATGTCTGGTTCCATTGACTTCCATTAAAAGTAAAATACGTTTTTTCCTTTACCATTTTGGAGATACAAGGTTTTTTCAGACAACAGCGATATGAAGGCTATTGCTTTCACTTCACTCAAATTAAGTCACTAAACTTCACAAATCTATAAAATTCCTTTTAACAGGAACATAAATTTGAAATAAAAAACAGTTTAAGACTAATGTACAACATGTTATTAATATAATAAACAATAAATGGTCACACTTTACTTGGACAGCCCCCAATAGATGTTCAAATTATTAATAAACTACGTGGAGAAACTGATTATCAATAGCTTTTGGTTTGTGATTTGGATTAGTACCTGGGTTAGGTTTAGGTTTTGGGTTGAGGTTAAGGTTGTGGTTAGGGCTATATCTATGTTTAAGAAAAAATGAAAGTAAATTTAATAGATATTTTGTTGCACGCAAAATACACCTCTAATATAAATAAATACTCAAAACTTGTTTGTAGATATTTAAATCCACATATATATATATATATATATATATATATATATATATGTGTGTGTGTGTAAAATACTTAGCGTGATGGTATAGCAAGACTTTGAAAAGAAAAGTTGAGGAAAATTATTTACATTATTTACAGATTTATCTTCAAATCTCAGTGTGTTGCAGTACTGAGAATTCAGTTACTTAACTTGAAAAATATTACTAAAAATCAATTTTAAATTATTTAACCAGGCACCATTGTTTATATTTATACACACACACGCGCACACACACGCGCACACACACACACACACACACACACACACACACACACACACACACACACACACACACACACACTATATACAATTTTGCTTTTGGTCTAGATGTGGAGATTCATGATCATCATGGCTTGCAACACATCCTGCTCAGCTAAACTGTATGAGGTGTTTCATATAGCAATTCTTCTCAAATCTATATTTCTCATTAAAAAAACTGATTGATTGAATGATTTTCTGAATTGAATGATTTTCATGCTTGTTAAACCTCACATATCAGACAACTTAATCCTGTCTGATAAATAAGGTGATGATGTCACTCACTGAGATGGACAGAGTGAGCAAATTTCAAACTGAGCACCAAAAATCGAGTTTACATTTTACCTTTTCTGCCCTGTAGATTCTAGATTGGAATGACTTCTCTCTGGATGTCTTTAACACAATTTATGTAGCCTTTTGTTTAATTCAGCCTCCGAATTTAAGTACTGAAAAGAAACGTTGCACTTGAAGCTAAGGAGATCCTGGCTAAAACAGAATTCCATTGTTTTCTTCAGGCAAATCAGAAGCCTGTGGAGCTGAGATAATTCCTCTGACTCAGGCATTCTTCTCTAACGAACTGTATTCACAACCAGGTAAACTCATTCACTCCTCAATTTCAGACGGAAATTTTACTGCAATGAGACATCATAATGAAGCATATGACATCTAGAACTAAGATGTCAAGCCCAGACTTGTCCTTTTGCTGTACTACACACTTAAAAAAGATGGTTCTTGAAGGATTCTTTTGTAAAGAAAATGGAACTTTAATCGCATGATTAAATGATTCTTTGCATTGTGAAAGGGTTCTTGAGATTGATACATAATGTGCTGTGTGGTTCTATATAAAACCTTTTTGGAAAGGGTTCTATATTGCACTAAAAAGGGTTCTTCTATTGTAACAAGCTCGACATTGTAACAATAGAAGAAACCTTCTTGGTACTATATAGAACACTTTTCAAGGGGTTCTATATAGAACCATGTACTATACTATGCAGACTATATAGAACCCTTTCATGATGCAAAGAACCCTTTAATCATGCAAAGGGTTCTTTGCGTGTTCATGGTTCTATATAGAACCAGTTTGTTTACTAAAGAACCCCTAAGGAACCATCAATTTAAAGTATGTATTATCATATATTTGCTAAGTAATTAATTATATTTACATCCTATTAACATTCTCTACCGATGTGAATGTAAAGGGAGGGTTTCTTTCTGCCAAACAAGACAATAATAATCATAATAAAGTATCTCCTCTTCTACTTATGAACATGAGTGTGCATTCAAAGTTGAGACACTTTCACAGGATTTCTGCACTTGTTTCAACCAGGTACCGAGTGAGAAAAGATCAAACGAAATGTAAGAAGAGGGTTTCACAATCAGGTTAAAAAGCATGCAGACATCTGAAGAGATGCAATGCACATTTACCGGAGGGTAATCGTACTCCTGTATCAGCCGGCCCCTCTGTGCCCGGTCCAACGTCCTGCAGGTTGTTTGGACTGTCGATCATAGGCTCTTCCAGTACTGACCCCTCTTCACCACTGTGGCCTGTCTCATCTCGGCCCGCCACTCTCTTCTCTGCTTCTTCCTCAGCACCCTCCTCCTGTTTGATTGTATGAGCTGGAATAAAAAGGGCATGGAAAATGAAATGCTTAGTTAACATCACAGTTTTACACAGCTCAGTGCTGGGGCTATAAAAGTAAAGCAGCATAAAATGGTCTGAGATGAAGTGTATGTGATTTAACAGAAGATAAGTGTGAGGGTGGATCTCTCTGTAAAATGGTTCGAGATTGTAGATCAAAAACATAGATAACTGACAGCTGCAGCATGAATTCAAACAGGAGGATAATGATATAAAGTTATCACCCACTGCTGAGTGCAATTTACTTCACCTCACGCACAAACACATACAAGTCCTTATGTTATAAACATAGTCTACACTTAGATGGTCCACTGTCGATGCTTAACCTGACGTTGTCTTACATTTCAACTAATTATCTATTGATATCACCTTTTACCTACCTATCTATTAATATTGGTTGATTTTTTTTTTTTATTAAATGTAATTTACAGAGGTCTTTACTTATTTACTTTCCAGTCCAAACAGCCATTTAGTGCAGTTACTACTTTTTCAGTGAGGCTAGATGTAAGATAATCCACTTGTATAAGGAAGGAGAAAGTCAAATTAAAATATGTGAAAAAACAGGAGTTTCCAAAACTAGAGTTCAAAAAGTGATTAAAAGCTACAGAGAAAGAGGGGCTCCTAACAACCATGCAAGACCTGCTAGACCACCAAAACTGTCCCCATCAGATAAGCAGCACTTAAAGCTTTCATCTTTGAGAGAGAGGAGAAAATCAAGCTGCTTCAGATCTGAAAACATCCACAGGTGTTTCTGTCCATCCTTCCACTGTGAGAAGACAACTCAGTGCTATGGGTCTGTAAGGATGTGTAGCAGAGAAGCCTCACTGAGAAAAGAAAATATACAAAAAAGAACAATGTTTGCAAATCCAAAATGTAGACTGACCACCCCAGAGTCCAGACCTCAACATCACTGAATGTGTTTTTTGGGATTACTTCAATCTGAGAGGCAGGAAATACAACTAGCTTTTAAGACTGAACTTTGGAGGTGAGGAGAAATATTTCTGCAAGCAAGTCTGGAAAAGAATGGAAGGTGTAATAAAGGTTAACTGTAGACACTTTAAAATAACTGAACATTTTGATATTATATTTAATTGTTGAGTCTTGAGTGTGTGATTTTCTCTTAAGCCCCTAAATCGCCAGGGCTCACTGGCAGGATCAACGTTTTATTACACACTTCTATAACCTCATATAAGCTCAGCCAGTTTGCAATGAAGTCCCTGTAGATACTGAATAATAAGCGTTTAGTATATAATAAACCTTAAAGAGGTTAAATACAGTTATATCCAAAAGTTTGAACACCACGTGTCAAATTACACATAATGATTTTCTAAGTGGAAATACATTAGCACCTAGTCTACAGTAATTTTCTGTAGATTTAAGTGTCACAATTTCTATTTATTTGCATATTAAATGTGCAATTACTTTTGTACTTCACATTTTATGTTTTATTTTTCCCCAACATGTTAAATTCAGTAAATAAACATTAATTGTGCATTAAAATGTGCAGAAGTGTGTTCTCTGTAAAGCAGTGGTCTCCAACCTGAGAGCTACCTTCCGGCAGAGAGTTTAGTATTCAGTAAACTGCCCCTCCCTTCACTCAACTCTAACACATCTGATTCAGCCAATGAGTTGAGCAGGTGTGGTAAACTGTGGTTGGACCTAAGCTCTGCAGGAAGGTAGCTCTCCAGGACAAGGGTTGGAGACCACTGCTGTAGTGGAAGTGTTTACTTATTTTCACTTAGAAAATCAACAAAAACAAAAAAAATTGGCTAGGACTGCCCACATGCACCGGAATACATCTTAACAGTTGTTTCGGATTGTTAAATGGAACAAACGAAGCGTGACTTTTACACAGTACTGTGTATTTACATCACCATCAACTTTTATTTAAATATCTTTTGACATCATCTTAACTTTATCTAAATATCTATTGACATCATCTTAACTTTTATTTAAATATCTTTTGACATCATCTTAACTTTGTCTAAATGTGTATTGACACCATCTAAACTTTTATCTTACTATCTACTGACATCATCTTAACTTTTGTCTAAATATGTATTGATATCATCTTAACTTTTATCTCAATGTATTTTAACATCAACTTAACTTTTCCTTTACCCAAAATGTAACACTTACTCCAACTAAACATCATTCAATAAAGTCCTAATCCTAAAAGCTAGTACTGCTGAAAATCAGCTGTATGCTTTATTAACAGGCTGAACATTTGTAGAATAATCTACAGGGAACTATCCAAATAAAGTGAGACCAACCCAGCATGAGTGCAGCAGTTACTATGACAGCCAAGCCTTAAAAGCAATACAATCTCAAAGATTAACCCCTTAAACTACTATAGATTCAGTTAATAATTTTAGAGCTTATTATCCGGTAACTACAATGACTTATTTGGCAACTACTATTAAACTACTAAGTAAGTTCTGTAGTTGTGAGAGTGGGGAAGAGAAGTCTGGACAAGTCCTTAGAGTTTTAAAGGTTAAAGAGGAACAAGGCGGCTGCAGGCGGGGTCCCTGGGGGCAGGAGGCAGGTGGGTTTCTACTTGACTGACAGTGGGAGACAGTGAGCTGCGCAGCGCCGCCCTGCAGTCTGGTCAGGGCCTGTGCAGCGCTCCTCCGGGGAGGCCATCACCTCCCCCACAGCCACTGATACTCACACAGCGTGGCCAAAAATAGACGCGCTAACAGACAAAGAAACACAAAAGTGACACGCAAACGCACAGGCGCCCAGCCCGCGACTTTTCCGTCTCGACCGCACCAAAAAAAAAGAGAAAAAAGAAACACCTCTCCACGTTCTTCCACCATGCATCAGGTGGAAAAACGCTCAGGCTACTGGCCACGCCATCCGGCCCAACCTGTTCTGAAATACTGTTGCGGCTTTAATCTCCAGGACTAAGCTTTGAGTCACCTCTTCCTGCTGTCTCACAGAAGGCGGGAAACTCCCAGTGCTGCCGGCTAGCAGTGGATCAGTTAGCCTTGCTAGAAATATGCATTAAAAGAAAGGTGAAAACTCAAATGTACACAGTTTTGCCCTAAACCTAGATGCAGTTGATCGGTCAGGAAACGTTTGATGTACAAAACTATCTACTGCACCAGAGCTGCGAAGCTAATGCAGCTAACAATAAATGAAAGACACAACAATTAGCATAATGCTAACAGCAAATCTAACACATCACACACTGGCTTACGGGTCAATCTTGCTTATGTGGTTTTTGACGCTCCATGACACACTGTTATCTATAAAAATGGGCAGAAGTACAGACAATGTTTCCACAAGATGGCTGCTACTAGTATTTTTAGCTATGTTGGTTTGTGTTCATATTATAGCATTTTAGCTCCAAGACAAAACACCAAATGTGTTTTGGATTGACTACAATGTAAAATCAAAAAGAATAAAAAGACTGTAAAAATAGTAAAAGTCTGGCTGGAAAGGTGCCAGAAAAAAAATGTCAATTAACGGTAAACATATTTTCTCAATGATGGTAAAAATCTGTAAAAATACAGTCATTTGATTTCTTAGTTTCACTAGATCAGTATTTTTCCCATAAAGGTAATAACCATTCATATAAATAAATGAATGTTTGTGAAATAATTGTGAAAATTTGTTTTTGTGAATTTACATTCTATTTCTGTTAACAACACTAGTTTTAAAATACAGTATTTGTATGAGTAATTTACATGTATTTAACCTTTTTTTTTCAATTGTGTACATTTGTGTTTTGGGGAAATGATTTTTTTTCTCACAGAAATGTTATTTTAAAGTTTACAACAAATCTGCTGATCCAGGATCAGTTCCTTACTCTCCGCATCCTTTGGGAAAGGATGCAAAACATACTTTAGAACAGAACTCTCGCTCTTAAAGAGAAACAAATGCAAACAATGTCATTTAGAGTGAACCTACACTCTTTTAAGGTTTTATATATAATGTTGATGATGGTAAAATAATGGTGAATCTGAAAAAAGTATTTCTTTGGGGACTATTTTTTTTTACCTCTACCCCCACACTCTTTTAAAAGATACATTTAAGCCAAAACCTTCTATTATAAAGCAATGTTTTAGGCATTGAATAGCGTATTCATAACCATTTCAGAAGAAAGAGCTTCTCCTCAGATGTCTGCTTCTTATCACCACCACTGTGGACAATTCTGAGTCACTATGCTTCTCTAGATTGTCACATTTCACATCAGATCATTCTGAATGAATCTGTATATGTCGTCATGGTATAGTCTGTCCCTTTAATGTGTTATGTGTGGATCTGGGTCTGTTGACACTGGTCAGACATACCAGTCTGCCTGGCAGATTTTACACACCTTGCAGCCTTGTGACATGATGTCAACACTGCAGCTTAACAAGAAAAATAAATAAATAAATAAATAAATAAATAAATAAATAAAAACAGGAAAAAATCTCAAAAGCCCATCTCATGAGCTTTTCATGAAATGAATTAGAACATTTGGCACACTCTTAAATAAGACTTCCCCAAGGCCAGCATGGATTTCAGACATGAACACAATGAGTACTCATTTGTGCTCACAGTATTCGGCAGCTGTTAATATTTTAGAAGCAAGTAACGCTTCCTTCAGCATGATGTGCAGCTGGGTGCAGAGTGCCTGAAAGTAACATGCCCTTTAGCATGAAACTGCCCACATGAAATATTTAATTTTTCCTCAGAGCTCTTCCAAAGAACTACTACAAGGTGACTGTGCGTATTGCACAACATTGGCGTTCATTTGTTTTCGAAGAAATACCGATGAATAATAAGTAGGCACTTATTCCCCATGTAAAAGGCAGATCTTGTTTTATAACAATTCCACTTTCTCTGCTACATCCCAGCAAGCAATATTTGCACAATCGTGATCAGTTATAAATGTTTTCTTTTTTTTTTTCAAAGTTGCTTGACTCTGGTTTTGAGTCTCGCAATCTGACCTCAACCAACATCCCTCAAGTGAAAGACAAAGTCAACA